GCTCGGCTTGCGCCTTCCGGGCTTCGGGAGATACGTTGTATTCGGCTGGGTCGAGGGTAGAGGGTAGGGTAGCCAGGCGCGACGGCTCGTACTTGGGGAACGACATCTTGGCAATCCGGGACACAACTGCGCCTGCCGAGACTTTTTTTTTAAAGTAATCTCTATGCCCAACATGGGGCTTGAAATCAAGAGTTGCATGCTTTACTGACTGAGCCAGCTAGGTGCCCCCAGATGGAAGGTTTTTATAGAGAAATGGGGGCAGGGATGGGAAAAACTGGATTATTTTATCTTTCTTTGGGAGACGGAAGGCGTCTTTCAGGCAGATTACCTCACTAGTGCTGACAAGGTTACCTCACTATACTGACCAGTTAAGATTACATTCTGGAAGGGGCTGAAACAGCAATTAGGTTAGATTTTAAGTCTTGGTTTACTGACAGGCTTAGCACAGGTGACTCCATTTTGGATCCATTTTTTGTTTGTTTAACACTTCTTCAGTTCCAGAAGTGGAATTGCTGGATCATATGTTAGTTCCATTTTTAATTTTTTGAGGAATTGCCAAACTGTATTCCCTAGTGGCTGTACTATTTTACATTCCATCCAAGAGTGCATAACGTTCCAATTTCTCCACATCCATGCAAATACTTGTTGTTTTCTGTTTCTTTGATAGTAGTCATCTTCTAATGGGTGTGAGATTCTTTGTTTCATTTTCACTACTACTTGACATTCTATTGTTAAAGATTTATTCATTTGGCATTAATAAGTACTCTCTTTTAAGAGGCAAATATACTTAAGAGCTATCTGTCTTTCTTACCTCCCCCGGTCAGTTTGATTCTCACCTGACTTCCTGGTAGTTACTGACTCTAATTAAAACCTACACATCTCAAATCATGTACCTATAGCCCTGACATTGATTGATTTTCTCATGCAAAATGATAACTGCCTGGAGAGGCACTAGAATTTCAGGTATGATAAAGATTGGCCCCATTATCAAGTGTTAGAAATTGTCGTTGAAAAAATAAGGTCAAGATATGGCACTGAGTGAGAAACCTATATTACATTCAAACTGTTTAATAAATTTATTTAAAAACATTTATTGAGGGCGCCTGGGTGGCTCAGATGGTTAAGCGTCTGCCTTCGGCTCAGGTCATGATCCCAGGGTCCTGGGGGTAAGCCCCGCATTGGGCTCCCTGCTCCGCGGGAAGCCTGCTTCTTCCTCTGCCTCTCTCTCTCTCATGAATAAATAAATAAAATCTTAAAAAAATAAAAATAAAAAATAAAAACATTTATTGAGGGGGTGCCTAGGTGGCTCAGTCAGTTAAGCATCCAACTTCTGATTTTTGCTCAGCTTATGATCTCAGGGTTCTGAGATCAAGCCCCATATCTGGCTCTGTGCTGAGCGTGGAGTCGGCTTGAGATTCTCTCTCTCCCTCTGCCCTCCTTCCCAACTTGGTGTGTGCATGCACTCTAACTCTCTCTCTAAAAAAAAAAAAAAAAAATTTGAGTGATATGTGAGGCAATGATGCTAAGCCCTTACACTACTTATAATATAAGCTCCAGGAGGTCAGGGTATTTTCCTGTTGGGCTCACTTTATTCATACTGCCTAAAACAGTGTCCATAGAAAGGGCTCAATGAATATTTGTCTAATGACTATTTGCAGATATATTCTTTGGTTCTCCACGTGTAGTCCACAGACCCTGGGAGTGCCTGAGAGAGTTTCAGGGAGTCTGTAAGGTTGAAACTATTTTTATGATAATATTAAGACATGATTTGCTCTTTTTCACTGTGTTTATATTTTCACTGATGGCATAAAGGTGACGGTGGGTGACATTGTGGGCACCTTAGTGTCAATCAGGGCAGCACAGTGCCAACTGGTGCTAGAGTCATCCAATTCTTCCCTGCCATGCCTATGCAATAAAAGAATTAAGAAGTCACTTTGGGGTGCCTGGTTGGCTCAGTCAGTAGAGCATGTGACTCTCGATCTCAGGGTTGTGAGTTTGAGGTCCACATTGGGTGTAAAGATTACTTAAAAATAAAATCTTTAAGGGGCACCTGGGTGGCTCAGTCATTAAGCATCTGCCTTCAGCTCAGGTCATGATCCTGGGGTCCTGGGATGGAGCCCTGCATCGGGCTCCCTGCTCAGCGGGAAGCCTGCTTCTCCCTCTCCCACTCCCCCTGCTTGTGTTCCCTCTCTTGCTGTCTCTCTCTCTGTCAAATAAATACATAAAGTCTTAAAAGAAAAAGCCTAAAAAAAATAAAATCTTAAAAAAAGAAAGCCACTTCCACTTAAGACTATCCCTTATGAAGCAGTACAAATTATTAATTTTGTGAAATCTCTCTTCTGGAGTATACATCTTTTAAATGTTCTGTGTAATGAAATAGGAGAGGTACATAAAACACTTCTGCTGCTTACTGATGTATACAGTTGTGTGATTGAGTTGTGTGAGCTGAACTGGCTGCATTTTTTCATAGAACACCATTTTTCCCATCTAAGTACTAACCAGGGCTGACCCTGCTTAGTTTCTGAGATCAGGGGTGTTCAAGATGGTATGGCTGTGGGCTTTAGAACACCATTTTTGTTTGAAAGAATGACAGGGAAACTGTGGTTATTCAGACTTGACTATTTGAATGGAATGAGCCTGACACTTCAAGGAAAAATGGCTTAAAGGTATTTTTGTCAATGATAAAATTTGAGCTTTTTCTTTTTTTAAGGATTCTTTCTTTATTTGAGAGTGACAGAGAGCCAGAGAGAACAAGTAGGGGGTAGGGGCCGAGGGAGAGGGAGAAGCCTCCCCACTAAGCAGGGAGCCAGACTTGGGGCTCCAACTCAGGGGCCTGAGATCCTGACCCAAAGTCAGACACCTAACCAGCTGAGCCACCCAGGCACCCCAAAATTTGAGCTTTCAAGAAAAAAATTGCAATTTTGGAAAAGGTGGTATCCACCAAAGTGAGCTTGACAGCTTCCCTGGATTTTCCTGTTGAGATCAATGATGATTATAATAAATGTGATTTTTTTATGTTGAGTAGTGAAATTCATCAATATTTGGAAGATCCGCATAATTCAGTAAACCAATATTTTCCAAGTGGTTTCGGATTCCCTATTGCAAGTAATCTTTTTTTTTTTTTAGATAGATTGATTAAGAGAGAGCCCAAACATGCGCATGAGCAGGGGGAGGGGGAGGGGCAGTGGGAGAGGGAGAAGCGGACTCCCCATTCAGCGGGTAGCTCATTCAGGGATCATTTTCCGGGGCTCTGAGATCATGACCTGAGCCAAAGTCAGACGCTTAATGGACTGAGGTGCCCAGGCTGCTAATCTTTAAGAAACTGGGGCGCCTGGGTGGCTCAGTCCTTAAGCGTCTGAGTCTTGATTTCCTCTCAGGTCATGATCTCAGGGTTGCGAGATGGATCCCCTCCTTGGGCTCGTGCTGGGTGTGGAGCCTGCTTGGGATTCCCTCTCTGCTTCTCTCTCTCCAAAAAATAAATAAATAAATAAATAAAAAATTACCATTAGTTGAGTTTTGCTAGTATCATAAAGTATCTACAATTATTGGCTAAAAATACCCCTTCCTTTTCTAACTATGTATCTGTGAGAGACCGGATTTTCTGCATTTCCTAGACCAAAATAACATAGCAAACCAGAGAGAATGGGGAGGCAAATATGAGAATCCAGCTGTCTTCTTTTAAGCCAGACATTAAAGAGATTTGAAAAATTGTAGTGCATTGCCACTCTACTAATTTTGGGGGGAAGATGTAGTTATATTTCATAAAATATATTAAAATGTATTGGTTTATTATTAATTCAGGTGAATTAATACATGCTTTTTAATTTCTCAATTTTAATTTTTAATTTGGTGAATATCTCACATAAACAGTCTCTCTCTCTCTCTTTTTTTTTTTGAGAAAGAGAGCGCGCGCATTGTGCTGGGGGAAGGGCAGAAGGAGAGGTGCGCTGGGGGAAGGGCAGAAGGAGAGGGAGAAGCAGACGCCCCGCTGAGCGGGTAGCCCGATTTGGGACTCAATCCCAAGACTTGAGATCATGACCTGAGCCAAAGGCAGACGCTTAACGGACAGAGCCCCCCGGGCGCCTCTAAAGAAACACTCTCAATTTTTAAGAATGTGGGGGCGCCTGGCTGGTTGAATCCTTAGGGCATGTGACTCTTGATCTTGGGGTGGAGTTCCAGCCCCAGGTTGGGTGTATAATTTACTTAAAAAAAAAAATGTAAAGGGATCCTGAGACTAAAAGGTTTGAGAAACTCTGCTTTGAGATTGCACAGTATTCTCCATTCTACAGATGAGGGGACTAAGATTTACAAAGCTTTAAGATCAGTTTAAAGCCCCACGGCCCAGTTCAGTGCTGGGTATTGTAGTCAGGCCACCTAACTTCAGAGCTTGTCTTTTGTGACCCTGACTTTTTCCTTGATAGTTATCTTTGCAACAATGATGTTTTAACAGGTTGTTAAAAGACATTTCAACAACATAAAAACATCATATTCAACGTATTTTCTTTTCCCTAACTAGCTGCACGATCCTTCTTTGGACTTGTTTCCGCGAGTGAACCCGATGTTTGTTGGGCCATCGCAGTTCGGTTTTCGCGGTGACAATCTGTGGTTTTACGAACTGAGTTGGAACGCCTTCGATAACTCCGCGAGGGAACTGCAACCCGCGGGGTTGAAATGGGGAAGCTCTCGGGACTTTGCGAAGCTCCAGGAACGTGGACGTCTTCTTCCCCGATCCTCTCACACTCCGGACGGCCCTCGGCCAGACAAATACCGGAGACAGCCTCCTGACACCTCTTGGCCCCAAACACCCTCCTTTGGACCTTTAATAACGCTCCCTGGGCCTGATTGGCTGGGCCTGACAACGATGGGTGGGACACGGCTCCGGATTGGCCGTCAGAACCCATTCGACGCTCCTCTCCCGCGTCCACCCTCCAGCGTCCCAAGTGAGTCTTAGGGGATCCCGACTCCCGGCCAGGGTCTGGGTGGGGCCAAGTGCAGCGTCTCCGGAGCCGGGATCTCCACTAAGAGTTCGGGCCTGCAGGGGCGGGGCCTCCTGGGCCCCGGGCATTGGTGTGGCCGGGAGCCTTCTCCCGTCGTGCACCGGGGCACCGGCCACTCACCCGGAAGGAGAAGCCGAGATTCTGGCTATATGGTGCGGCTCTGGCGGTGTCGCTGTGGGGAGTGGGTGCTGCTCTCAGGTGAGGGGTCGTGGGCGGGGCCGCGGGGAGTGGGTGCTGCTCTCAAGCGAGGCTTGAGCGTCAGGAGTGGCGTTTGTGGGTGGGGATCTCGCTTGACATCTTAGGGAAGAGGCTGTCTCACCTCCCGGGATGAACGCGGGGGCTTGCTCCGGATCCAAGGAAGGAAACCCGGCTTTTTCATTTGTTTTTAAAGTATAAAGCATCTTTCCTTTCCACTCCCTAAGCTTAATAGTCAAAGGCGAAGAAGGTCGTGGGGCCCTTTTGCTCCTAGTTCGTGGAGAATGGAGGTGGAGTGACCAGAGTTTGGCAACATTTACCGAAACGACTAGGGCTAGGAGTAACGACAGGTATTTTACGGGACAGAGGTGGGCTCTTGTGCTAGATTGTGGTCGCCTTTGTAATTTACCTCCCAAGTGTAAGGAGTGGCAAGTTACAGACGGACAGAAGGATGGAGCGGAGCTGCTTGGTTGGGAACATACAGAACTTGGTCAGAAAAGGGAGCATCCTCTACCACCTGTGGGTGTTTAAGAAGGAGAGCTTTTTGAGTTGGCATCAGGCTCCAGGGGCTCAAGAATGAGTAAGAAGGGATAGGAGTCTTGGTGGCTCAATACGCTTTTATCACCCTGTTTTTCAACCTTTTTGAAGTAGTTTAAATGGGAGTGAAAATGGTGGTGCGAAAGCCTGAATTGCTACCTTGAATTGTTAGGACACAAGAAAACCTTACAAGGAATCTGCTTTGTAAAAAGCAAACAACTGGGTTCTTCCCAGGGAGATTGGTGGTGGCACAGGTGGAGAAGGTAAAGGAAGCTTCAGATATGATTGAAAGGACCCAGGAAATGTAGTCAGTGCAGAGTGAGATGCATACATACATAGCTGAGAGGATTGCTGACCTATCCTTATTTGAATGACGAGGATCCATCTCCCAGATCACGAGCTAACTTTAGGAACTTCCTTTTTCCCCTCCACCGGCAAAACTGAGCTTCATTTCCTTCTGGGGAGTGGCATTTATGTGGAGGAAGCTGATGGAGAATGGTAATTGATAGAAATTATGATTTGGAGTCTAGGTTTTTGTATTTGTTCCAGTGTCCAGTGTTTTTAAGGCAGAGTTACAATGGAAACTTTGTTAGTGCTCTTTAAACTTAGATTTAAGTTTACAGCAACTTGGTGGGGGGGGGGGTGGTGCTAGGATTTTTATTTTAAGCCAGTTTATTAAAGCCAGTTTATAGCTATTTTTTTCTAAGTGGTTTTAGCCTCAAAGGAAAGGAGAGGAACCTATGCTTGGAGGTGGTTCAGGGCCCTAGACACACTCTTCTTGAACCTGAGAATGATGGCCACTTAGTCACTAAATTATGGTACTGAATTTGGCAGACCTTTGAAGGCACAGGAGATGTGTGAGCTCCACTGAGTGTGTGGATGACTCTGATTTCCTTGTCATCTTGCCCATCGTTACTTTTGTGAAAAGACACGTCAGAATATTTAACTCTCTGCTCCTGTGCTGGCAATTTACCAAATGCCTGAAAAGAGAAAAGGAAAAAAAATTTTTTTTTAAATCTGAGGAGGTTAATTGTTCACGAGTCGGCCTGTTCTTTTTGGTCACAGCCATTTGATTGCTTACATCGGGGATGTTACAGATTGGTTGTTAAGGATTCCTTTCAGTTCAGGACCCCTTTGTGACGGTGCCTTCATCAGATGAAAAATCAGATTGTCAGCGAAAGTACAAAGATGGCATCGCAGTCATAAAACCTCTGGTTTGCTCAACGGTATAGCCCAGTCCCATCATCCACCACGCAGTTTTGTCTCTGTGTGCAGTGGCTATGTGTGGAGAGATCTTCTGGTATACTGGAAAGGATTGGGAAAGCTGTTTGCTCTGCTAATTTTGTGGTGTAAATGAGTTCCCCTTCTCTTGAAACGTTAGCCTTGTGTTAGCAAAACATAAAATAGAAGGGAACTCATTACACACTGTTCTAATGGTAAGGCAGAACTAATAAGAGAATGTGTTTAAAATTAATTGTAGGACTGTAAAAATGAGTGGGTGTGTGAATGGGCATGGGGGGAGGTGAGGGAGAGCTTCGAGATAGTCTTGTTTTCCCAGGAGCCAGCCTGGATCATTTGTTGGCAGTACATATTGGCTGAAGTCAGTTTTCATTTCAAGGTAAATTGGAAAGGGAAATTAAACCTTATTGTTCCGCTCTTAAGAGAGGAGAAGGGGGTGGAGGCGGCCGCCAGGGTGGATGCTGTTTGAGTGGTTCTAGGAGTAACAAGATTAGTGCTGTATTTTAACAGAAGGTGACATCATGGGCCCCTTTGGACTGGAGTAACCCTGTGCTGGAGGCTTCATGATCCCCTTGTCGAAGTGGGCGATGTCGCTGCACATGTAAACGGCCACACTGGGGGAAATCAGGGGCTTAGGCTTTAATGAATCTTTACAAAGGAGCGGAAAACATCCCGAGCCGACCCGTGCAGCTGTGGGGTGCTTGGGCAGAGGTACAAACCGGAAAGCATGTCGAGAGAGGAAATGATTGGAACCATTGGCTTGGGTTCCGGAGAACAGATTAGGTAAGGGAAGGTCGCAACCGGGCAACCCACTCAGGTGCTCCCCGCGCTCTCCAGCTCTGTGATTTACTCCTGGGTAGGCGACTGGTTAGGAAGACAAAGAGAGACTTCAGAACATGGGTGTTTGTGGGGCTTGGTGGTCTCTAAACCGCCAGGAGGGGGCGGTGTCAGGCTCCCTTGCCGAGGCGTGTTGTGTGGCCACAAGACAGGGGCTTTCCCCTGCAGTGCTCCTGCAGAAAGGTTTGACAACCCAACTTGCCTGTTCTGGCTGCCCGAGGTGAACGCTGCATAGACCCAAACATGCTTTGGTTGGAGGTGGCCTGGTTAAGGGTCCAGGCTGTGGTATGCGAAGGGAGGCAAATCCCCCGGGGCTTTTGGCTCGGCACTGGGCTAAGACGGGGATTTTTTTGCTTCCTCTTTAAGTTTTACACAAGAACAACAACAAAAAAGGTGCCTGGGTTTTCCCGAGGGGGGGTCAATGAAAATTTTCCTTGATAAAGAGTGATAAGAATAGAAGCATGCTAACCATGATTGTTCCCCTGTCCCCACCAGATGTATTCTTCCAATGGGCTTTCAGTGTAGGATGTTGGAAAACCAAGAGCAGGAGGTAAGCGTGTGGTCTCCAGGAAACAGGTGGGTAAAAGTTTGATGGGATTTGGGGAAAGATGCCAGTCATTGCTCCATGGTATTTTAATGATAGTAATACCTTGGGGGTTCTGATGAGCTCAAAATAAAGGCAAGAGAAGGAAATCCATAGTAAAGCCATTCCTGGGAAATAAAGGTCCATTTTGACTAACTTTTCTATTCGTTGGGATGCAGCTGAATGTCTGATTCATGAGGGCAAGGATTTTTGTCTCTCGTTCATGTTCTTCCCCTAGTGCCTCAGAGCAGTGTCTTGACACATAGTGGGTGGTCCATAAATATTTGTTGAATTGAATGACTGCATGAGAGAAGGTTGGTGCCGATTGGAAAGAATCTGGCAGCCTGTGTTGTCGGAGGTGCCTCACCATGTGGCTGAGCTGAAGGAGCCTTTCTTACCTCCAGGAGGTGATCACTGTGCGTGTTCAGGACCCCCGTGTGCAGAATGAGGGCTCCTGGAATTCTTATGTGGATTATAAGATATTTCTCCATGTAAGTGCATCAGACTTCGTATTGGGGTCAACCCCCTCCGCGGCTGAGGGCTAGTGTGGAGGCGGAACCTGTTTGTGGGTGTTTTGACAGTCCTGAGACTGAAGAGGACTGAGCTTGGGGCCTGCGGGACAGCAGTGGGAACTGCCTGCTGGCCCGGTGCTCTAGCTGGAGCCTCGGCTCAGCACTGTAGCCTGGTGGCTTGGATCCTCTGTGAGCGCGATGAGGGGGAGCGAACCTGGTCTTTTTCTACTTGGGTTTTTTTTTTTTTTTTTCTTTTTCACGTACTTCCTCCTGTAGACCAACAGCAAGGCCTTTACTGCCAAGACGTCCTGTGTGCGTCGCCGCTACCGTGAGTTTGTGTGGCTGAGGAAGCAGCTACAGAGAAATGCTGGTTTGGTGTGAGTTTGCTTCTGCTTCTTTCTTGGGTCTGAGACTGGCTTTTTAGGCACATACATGAGAACCAGAGTTTACAATAAAGAAAACTTGGCAACATGTCAGGCATTTAGGAAAGAAATGTGTTCTTAAATTATGTTTTCAAGTCAGTGGAAAAAATAAAAACAGAGCTGTAGTATTTTGACTGAACAAAGTCATACAAATATCAAAAATATTTTTCATTTTTTAATATGCATATTTATCTAGGGCTACACAAATGTACTGCTGGTATTTTATATGTGCATATCACTCGTGATCAGAAATTTGTTAGCACCTGGACCTATGTGACCCGTGGTGTTCCTGTCCATTTGACATGTAATACAAAATGTTAATTTTTTTCTTTTTTGTGCAGAGACCTTTTCCCAGAGACATAACAGACTGAAAGCCTTAGGAAAAGCAGTATTGTTCACTCCTCACTTACACCACTCCAAATAAGTCCTAAACGGGAGAAGTGTAGAACAGTGATTCCATTGCAGGACAGTCACTGAATGCTCTGGGAACAGGGGGCCTGTGGGTGACCTAGCCAGTTAGTTAAAATGTAGGACTGATGAGGCCGCTGTCAAGGGTCAGGCCCTCACAGCCAGTTGGAACTTCTGACAGATCCTGCATTCTCTTGCCTGGCCTGTTTTTGTTTGTTTGTTTTGTTTTGCTTTTTTAGAGCGAGAGTGTGAGCTGGAGGGGAGGGGCGGGGGGGGAGAGAGAATTCCAAGCAGGCCTCATGCTCAACTCAGAGCTAGATGTGGGGCTTGATCTCACAATCCTGAGACCATGACCCCAGCTGAGATCAAAAGTTGGATGCTTAATGGACTGAGCCACCCAGACACCCCTGGCCTGTTTTTTTTTTTGTTGTTGTTGTTGTTGTAAGAGACAGAGAGGCAGCATGAACGGTGGGGGAGAGACAGAAGGAGAGGGAGAGAGAGAGAATCTTAAGCAGGCTCCACACTCAGTGCAGAGCCTGAGCCGGGGCTCGATCTCAGGACCCAGAGATCATGACCTGAGCTGAAATCAAGAGTCAGACACTTAACCAACTGAGCCACCCGGGCACCCCTGGCCTGTTGTTTTTTAAAAAAATATGTTCGTAATAGAAGCTAGGAAGATTGAAAGAGTTTGTGGATGCCTTGCTGCAACTCAACTATTCTTAGAAAATTCAAAGCATGTGAGGGGCGCCTGGGTGGTTCAGTGGGTTAAGCATCCGACTCTTGATTTCCATTCAGGTCATGATCTCAGGTCATGAGATTGAGCCCCAGGTTGGCTCAGTGCAGACTCTGCTTGAGATTCTCTCTCCCTCTCCCTCGCCCCCCTCCCTGCTCATGCTCCCTCTAAATAAATAAATAAAATCTTAAAAAAAAAATTCTAAGCGTGTGGCCTTCTTGGATTGGAGGAGCTAGTCTTGATTTACACACAGGGACTCAGGATGCTTCATGCCTCCATGTCCAGGTTTCTCCGTGTTTTAAAATAAGAGCTGATGGCGGGAGTGGGTTTTGTAAACAATGTAGTAAACTACATAGTACATAGTACATACTACACTCTTATTTGGAGTGGTGTAAGTGAGGAGTGAACAATACTGCTTTTCCTAAGGCTTTCAGTCTGTTATATCTCTGGGAAAAGGTCTCTGCACAATGTAGTAAACTACATAGCAGCAGTAGAGTTTTGAAGTCATGGACATGGTTCAGATACCAGCTCTGCTGGTTACTAGCTGTGTGACACTGGGAAATTTACTTAACTTCTCTGATTCTATCTCCTTACTCCTGAAATGGGGACATCAATAGGTTTTTCGTAGGGTTTTTGGGAGGAGTAAATGAAATAAGGTTTGTAAAACATTTAGCACAGTGGCTGACACGGGGCATGCAGTCAATAGTAGCCCTGCCCCCCCCCACCTTATTAAAAGCTATTTGTTCTGATTTGTGCCTCTTTTTAGGGGATTTCCTTGATCAGGGGGTGGAATGACTGTCTTTAATGTCGCACTTATCTTGGGTGTTACATTATGTGACCCCACAGGCCTGTACCTGAACTTCCTGGGAAGTCAACCTTCTTTGGCAGCTCAGATGAGTTCATTGAGAAGCGGCGACAAGGTCTGCAGCGCTTCCTAGAAAAGTGAGTAGATGGGGTGGGCTAGCACCTGCCTCCTGGGTGCGGGCGGGGAGGGGGGAAGGTGCTGGGCACGATGGCCCCTTGGAACAGACAGGCACGTCTGTGGTAGATGCCTTTCTTGCACCCGCATGCCTTCAAGTGCCCGCTCAAGCCAGAAGCCCTTTGGGGGTGGGGGGGGCCTGGGGAGAGCAGCTGCTCGGGGTGAGTCTGTGCTGTATCTCCTGTGTTTGCCTCAGGGTCCTGCAGAGTGTGGTCCTCCTCTCAGACAGCCAGTTACACCTCTTCCTGCAAAGCCAGCTCTCGGTACCCGAGATAGAAGCCTGTGTCCAGGGCCGAAGCGCCATGACCGTTTCTGATGCCATTCTTCACTATGCTATGTCAAACTGTGGCTGGGTCCAGGAAGAGAGGCAGGGCTCTTCTCACCTGGCTAAAGGAGACCAGCCGAAGAGGTAACTGGAGCTCCCTCTTTTTTGTGAGGCACTGAGGGCTAGGATTACTGTCACCTGGGCCAATGAGGTGTCCACTTGATAGAGGAAGTGCCGTCACAGCGTTGTAGGCTCTCAGAAGGGGCCTCGTCCTCCCTGTGCATGGTTCTGTCCTCATGCGCTGGGGCCTGAGCATCTGGGTTAACCCGTCCCTGGGTAGCCGGCTTTCCCACCGAAACCTGGGGAAAAGAAGAGAAGTCTCGCTTATTCTTTATTTCTCTCCACTTTCTATTTTATTTTTTTTTAAAGATTTTATTTATTTATTTGAGAGAGAGAGAGAATGAGAGATAGAGAGCACTAGAGGGAAGAGGGTCAGAAGGAGAAGCAGACTCCCTGCTGAGCAGGGAGCCCGATGTGGGACTCGATCCCGGGACTCCAGGATCATGACCTGAGCCGAAGGCAGTCGCTTAACCAACTGAGCCACCCATGCGCCC